CTCTCTCTCTCTCTCTCTCTCTCTCTCTCTCTCTCTCTCTCTCTCTCTCTCTCTCTCTCTCTCTCTCTCTCTCTCTCTCTCTCTCTCTCGTTAATTTTGGACTGAATTAAGCGACACGTTCACGCGCCATCTTTTACCGGTCTCGTGAAATTTGCCATCGCGCTTATGTATTCCCTTTTTCTTTTTTCTTCTCCTTCCCCCCCGCGTCAAAGCACAGAAACACGACTGCAGGTCGTTAATAATCGTTAGACGTTGACGACTAAGGCAGCGACCTACGACACGATCTGAGAAACGAGGCAGTCCGATGGGGCGTCACTGCAGCCTGCACGCCTAACGCCCTCAAACGGAAACGATTACTACGCGATACCTTGTTCCGTTCGCTCGCGCCGAACTTATCTCTCTTCACAATACCCGCGCACCCGCTTTTTCAACTTAACTCCAGCCAAACAATTTCCCACGGATTTGTTTCGAAATTTAAAGCGGTCCGAAATTATACGTAAAAATGACTCGATTCATAAATGAAATAAGTAAGATAAATTGTACGTATAGATATATATATATATAAAGAGAGAGAGAGAGAAAGAGATCTGGCTGTGATACGCGATATATGTATATACGTATACAGTTACGAGTATTATATTCGACTGCTTGTAAACTGCAACCTAAATTACCATCGGCTGTTTATCACCGCGACGTATCGTACCTATTCACTCCGTGGAAAAATAAAAATAACCGATAAAATTTCCCCCTTAATAACGATTTCCCGATATTCCTCTCCTCGTTCCGGCACGAAATATTTTCGGTACACGAGGGTAAACGAGAGTAGTATTCCCCGAATAACGTCGAAAGAAGGAGAGTTATAAATTACGGGAATTATGCGAATTCTTCTCCACTCGATCAAGGGCGCCCCTATTTTCGATTCGAAAATACAGGGAACGAGATTGCGATAATAGAAAAACAAGGGTGGGGATAAAATATGGGGCGAGGAAAGAAAAAAAGGGACGGGAATAATGAAATGGACGCGATAATTTGGCGGATTCCACTGGTGGAGGAAGCTAGGTGCGCGATTATTTACGCGGCGGTGGTGGCGGGAGCGGTGTAGTTGTAGCGATGGCGTCGCGTCGGGTGGGGTTGTGCGATGCATCGCAATGCAGCACGATACCACGAAACCACTTGGAGTTTTCACGGAGTTGCGTCGTTGCGCGATGCCGGCTCGCTTCGTTCCGCTTGTAACGCGTTCGCGAGACGAGAATTGGGGAGGTGAACGAAGAAGCGGCGGAGTGGGGAGGAACGGATGGTCGAAAAAGTTTTATCGAATGCGGTCGTACCGCCTTCGGTGTTCGCGAAACACAATTATCTTGGTAACGTCGCTTACAACCGAGTGTCTTGCATCCTCGAGTTCGATCCGTATAATTCTCCTCGGTGGCATGGAACCACCGAGGTCGGTGATCTCTTCGAGTGGCGCGTACGTGCGAACCGGGGAGGAGAGGAGAGGAGGAGGTATCGGACCGAGCTGTTCTACGACTCCTAACTACGCCAAATAGGTTTCGGTTTGAACATGACTCGTACATTAAAGGTTAGCCTCCTTGTCGGAAAGAGGAGGGATTCGAACCAGTTTGGGAGCAGTTGGAGGGAAGTCGAGGACTTTAACACCACCGAGCGGAACTTATTCGTGCCAAAAGTCGAAAGCCGCACCGACAAAATCGATCTGCTCTCGCTCCACCGGTTATACCCTCGTCGTTGTAATCGTCGAAAAACCTCTTTCCACCCCTCTCTCACTCGAAATGACTCGAAATAGCACTGCGTAGGCACTGCGCTTAAACGCGATCCGCTTTCTTTCGCTTTTTCTCTCCTTTTTTATTTCGGAAGAGAGAGGAGGGAGATCGTAAAGCAAATTTTCATTCGAACGTTACGCAAGAAATTTTTTGCGCACGTTACGTTTACGCGGTTTGCCGGAAACGGCAAATTGGACTATGCTGGACGATGAAACGATCAAGTGCGTGGTTGAAATTGATCGAGACACGACGGCGAGTAACGCCAGAGATATCCGATTATCGGAGCTTAGTTTAGCGGGGATTTGTTCCGTTAATACGCGTTAGAAAATGAAGTTCTTGAACGGGGTTGAATCGACGCGAGAATGGAGTTTGATTTGTTTTTTGTTTCTCGCTCGATATTTATTTCGCGAGAAGAAAAGACGAAAGGAGAAGAATAAGGGGGAAAAAAATAGATTTTCTATCGGAGTTAATCGGACAGACGGTAACTATAACAGCGCGACAAATGTAGCAGTTCGATGAACGACGAGTAGCAACGTGTACGAGGAATAGTTGCACACCGAGTATAGGGATACAAAACAGTCCCTGTTCATGCATACTTTAGCAGCAGCTGTCCTAGCAGCTCCAATTCCCAAGCGTGTCGATAACGCGTCGGCTTAAGCGCCGTTCACAACCATGACATTTCGATGCCTCCAGCGACCCTCCACGTGTCGATCATTTTGGAAATGCCTCGGTATACCGGTATCAAATCGACGCGTCTATCGATTCCACAGTTCTACCAGTTTCGAAACCCGCTGTTGTTCTCGCGATGGGAACGGTGGTTCGATTTTAAGGCGAATTTAATACGCGATCGAGCGCACGAATCGTTAATTAAATTCTTGCTTCGGACGCCCGTTTCATCATGCTCGAATATAAAATTCGCTGGAATAATAAAAGAGATGGAACGTGAAATTTTCTACCCGAAACGGGAGAATATAATAATCTTCTCCGTATCAAAAATAGCTCTTATCGTTCAAAATATCTCCTTTAAAATTACGCTCTCTACGCCCTGTGTAATATTAAATCGAGCCGAGTATATACGCGTAATAACGCAAGCATCGCAATTACTTTAAATAATTATGATCGACTCGCTCGGGGCCAACGCTTTTTCAAAATAATTGTTTGCACAGCGGAGAACGGTGCGATGTAAAAATACGTTTTTTTTTTCCTTCTTTTTTTTCTTTTTTTCTTTTCTTTTTTTTTTTTTTGGATTTCGAGCGGAGACCTGGAGCAGCAGCGGGTTCGGTAAGCGAGGCGTTCATCGTTTCTGGCGCATATCGAACCATCGTGGATAAGCGTATCGCGCGTATATGCGATAGCGCACGCGTTTGCAACGGATGCGCTTGCATATCCACGGTAATTAGCTATCGGAAAATGGGTGCGCCGCGCCGTTCGGCCCACCACTCGAATCTACACGTCCGATAGCTCAGCTCGCGTTTAACTCCGATTTCATCTTACAACGACGATTCGCGTCGGATTGGATTCGATTTCTTCCCTATCGTCGGACGACGCGAGCATGAAATTAGAATCCTTTCGATATTTCGGTCGCGTTTCATTTTTCTTTCTTTTCTTTTCTTTTCTTTTTTTTTTTTTTGCGTCTCAAAGTATATTCGTACTTTTCTTTGATGATAATTTTAGCACCAGTAAATTGTCTAGTTCCAGTATTTTCCTCTCTCGGCGAAAATTTCAACCAACTTTTTTCTCTTTTTCTCTTCGGTTTTCTCTTTGTTCGAGGAGAACGAGTAATCGCATATCGAATTGTCACGAAATATCGTGTAGAGATTCGTAAATTCGTCTTTCTCGATCGATTCGCCGTGGATGAATCATCGTGGCGCGGCAGGGATAGTGAGAAATGGGCGGGCAGTTTAGCGAAGGATGGAAATTTTGACACAGCGATACGTTTGTCGGAAATGGAAAGAAGGAGAGACGGTGGGATATCGAGCGTAATGCGGATCTGGAAAAGGGCAGCGGTGACTGGAAAGGTGGCAGGGGATTGCTGCGGCTACGACTCAAAGTGCAAACGCGGAGGGAGGGGAGGGGAGAGGTTGCCGTACGACGCGGATACGACGGAACTCCTGCTAGAACCGGGGAATATTAATCGCAGCCACTGTCGGTATCCTCTGCTACAGCTCCCCCCCCCCACCCTCCCCTCCCCCTCCTTCTCTCCTTTGCTCCACCAACTCCCTACGTCTCTCGCGGCAACGACTTCTCTTCTCGACCTCTTCTCGCTCCTCTTACCCCCGCCCTCTCTCGCGCCCTCTCAGGACCCTTTTCCGTGTACCACATCAAGCCGAGAGACGGCTACTAATGAGGCCAAAAACATCGGAGCGCCCCATCGGAGTTAGCACCGTCCCAAAAACGTTACGCCCGTGATTTAGAGGATGGTAATGGAGCGGACTTTACCCTCTCGAACGCCGCTTCTAATATTTTCTTCTCGGGCCCTTGCACCTCCCTAATCTCGCCTTATCGCGCCCCGGATTTCGAATAACGCGCGCTTTCCATTAATAATCGTGTAATGTATCTTGGGACGCGCGAAAAAATTTTGCACTCCTCGACTCGTGCGCATGCGTGTTGTACTCTCGCCACATTTCTATTCTACATTGAATCGCGATCGCGTCGTGGGACGGGCAAGTGGGGAGATCGATCCTTCCCAATTATACCCATTTTTATCCACGCTGAATTATATTGGTCGCGGATAAACAGAGACGAAGAAATAATTTATTCGGAGGAAAACGGTCCTCGTTCCCTGTTATTTCGGTCGCCGCCTTTCTCTTTTTTCCGATGTATGGGCAGAGAGAGAGAGAGAGAGAGAGAGAAACATCGGTGTGTTTCGCTCCGCGATAAGAAAGCCGCGTGTCACTCGACGAGAAGCGCGATAGCGACGCATTGCCCCAAAGGAAATTTGCGCGACCATTACTTATATCATACCCTCGGTCAGATGCAGATGCAAAACATTTTTCTCTCCGGCTTGCGAGTGACTATGATGCAGTATAATAATATTCCACCAGTTTTTCCCTAAGACGGCCCCATTACTTGTCGCAATGGCCTTTGTCATCGGCCCCTTCGTTATTGAATTTTATAATGCAATTAACATTTCTCCCTGATTCGTTCCGATGTTTGCCCGCGTTCTCGATCGAGAACGATTTTTCGCGTTCTATCCGAAACGCTATTTCGTATCGCGGCCCCCACGGTACATATCCACCGATGGACGGAGAAAGAGTGGAGGGAATGGAAACGCTGTTGGGAAATGGCGTTAACTGTACACAGGCCACTCGACTGGACTGTTGGCGAAAGGTGAACAGAGAGAGAGAGAGAGAGAGAGAGAGGAGGGAGGG